GATATGTTTGTCTTTCTTAATTGACTTACATGTACAGCAAATAAAGTTATATTAAATTATGATTGGATGATACATTGTGATTTTCTGTAGCGGTTACTGTATTAAGGCCGACTTTATTTGATCCTGTGAGATGAGTTTAATTTACTAATGCTGTTAGATTCGTTTACAAATGTTGTTTACTGTATTTAGGATAGTTTAATGTAATGTAATAATGGTTTTAGTTAAATGAGATGGAGTTTATATCGTGTTTGTCCATACGAGTTTAGTCTGTATGAATGTATGTTGGGTTGATGGGTTATATATTTAGGTGTGTATATGCTGGTGTATGGATTGTATATACTGTACATACATGAATACTTAGACAAACAAGTATTTTTTTTTTACGTTAATATTTACTGAAGAAGTCATAGATATAAATTAATGCTTTATGTCGATTAATTTCTCACTACGTAAACACAATGAGCTTCTCCTCACGTTGTTGTCGGTCTCTCCTTTCACCATTATCTCCCTTATCTCCTCATTACCTTCCCTGGGACAGTGCTTCACCCCCTCACCCTCCCCCCCCCCCTCCTCTCCTCCTCCTCCTCCTCCTCCTCCTCCCACCCCATCAGGATGTTGGCGATGAGGTCCTCTGCGTCCGAGGTTAATCTGCAGAAGTGCCGGAGTGTGCCATCGTCTTGGGCGCGTGGGTAGTTACACCGAGGATAATTGGTTGTTAGTGGAAGTTAGGGAATGAGGAGGGGGGGGGGAGCAGGTCCTGGGCATTAGGCTAATCTGGGGACGCGTTGGGGGGAGGAGGGAGGAAGGGAGGAAGGGAAGGAAGGAGGGATGGACGAAGGAATGAAGGTGGGATAGAGGAAAGGGAGGGAAGGAGGGATGGAATGAAGGAGTAAAAGAAGGAAGGGTGGAGGGATGGAATGAAGGAGTGAAGGAAGAAAGGAAGGAGGAAATCGATTTATTTGATTTGATTTCGGTGTTCATTTTATGTAAGAATATTTGGTTAGGTTAGGTTACAATACAGTGTTTGGTGCATGTCTTAACCTGTTGAGGACGATGGTTTAATTTATAACCCTTTGAGGTCTTTACCATTGATTCTAACGTTGTATGAATTATTGATATAAGTTTACCAGTCCTTCCTTCCTTCCTTCCTTCCTTCCTTCCTTCCTTCCTTCCTTCCTTGCCCCCTCCCTCCCTTCCTTCCTTCCTTCCTTCTTTCCTTTCTTTCTTCCTTCCTTTCCTGTTGTCCTTCTTCACCCCACAATCAGTGTCCACATATCGCCTGGTTACTCCCAACATGCATCCTTGCTTTGTACACACACACACACACACACACACTACAAACACCTCTCTCTCTCCAACACTCTCCAGTCCTCGTACACCCACTCCACACCACTCACACTCGCCTCGCTTCCTCTTGACTACAACACATCCTTCTCTCTTTTTAAAATGTTCTCTCCTCATCTTGACAGAGCTTCCACCACCCATTCCTCCAACAGACAAACGGAATAAGTTTTTTTTTATTTTAGAATTTTTTTTTATCTTGGTGTCTTTACCTGTGTTTACCTGTTGAAAGAAAGGGAAAATTTCATGAATAAAGTAAAAAATTATGAATAAAAAAGAAAATTCATGAATAAAGCCTCCTCAGCCGGCCACAGCCTCCTCAGCCGGCCACAGACAGCCTCCTCCCTTCTGATCCACTATTAGAGGTCACGGATCATTAGATCAAGGTCAAAAAGGTCACTTAAGTAGAGTTGGGATATTATACAGCAAGTTTAAAGGATTAAGTAAATATACATCCGCCATATAGGGGATTAAACTAGTGTACGCCTGACTGACACTTCACTCGCTGCGCCATGTGTGTGTTTGTGTGTGTGTGTCGTAAATGTGTGTCGCTCCTGAATGTGTGTTTTTCATTTACACGGTTTGCTTACTACTAACACTTCACCCGGGATGGAGTGCAGTCAAAAGCACTGAAGTATTATATGTGTATGGCGTTTGTTTTTCATCTTTAGAGGGAAAATAAAAACTGAAATTAACTGAATAAACTCGTGAAATTAACTGAATAAACTCGTGAAATTAACTGAATAAACTCGTGAAATTAACTGAATAAACTTGTATAGTATACTTTAAAGGGGAAAAATAACAAAGTCGTGAAAATAACATAACAAATTCATTATTCGTATTATAAATTAGTATCGTATTTTATTATTGTTTCAGCACCTGGTTCCTGCCATGTGTTACCTGTCGGATTTCCTTAATTACAACAGGACGACAATAAGTTGAGCTTTACGACACTTCGCCAAAGGTAAGTCTTAAGGTATTTTTGATGTGTGATGTGGATTTTGTCTGCCAGTTTATGTTGTTTTTTGTCGACATGGAAGAGGTTTAGGTTTAATCGTTTGTATAGTTAAAAATAGATGAGATTATTTGTGTTTAATGATAGAGATGGTAGTTAGTGGTATAGCCTTGTTAATGTTGATAATTAATGGTTTATTGAAAGAACATGGCAGTTAAAAGGGTAAAAGATATATGATAAAGGTAGATGATGAAGGTTACATAATTAGGGGAATGGGTCACTTGGTTGATAAATAATGTTACAAGTGACTTAAGTGGTGCATGATACAGTATAATGACAAGGGGGGAGGGTCATTTAACACGGAATTTTAACATAATAACAGTGAGAGTGACTGGGAGTGTATACAGGTTAATTACGAGTTGTTGATAATTTTTGCAATGGTTGAGAATGGGTCTGTTGTTCTTATAGCGATCAGTACGTAGTCGTCCTACCTGACCTACCTGAAGCTGTGTGTGTGTAATAATAATAATAATAATAATAATAATAATAATTAACGGTTTATTGAAAGAGCTTGGCAGCCAGAAGGCTGAAAATATACAGTTACATATTTGGGGAATGGGTTACGAGTGTGTGTGTGTGTGTGATGACAGGCTCGTACGGACACCTCCTAGATTGACTAGATCCCATTGTGTAGTGTATACAAGTGGAGTCTACCAACATATGGATCACATTGTCAGCCCACCTGCACCCTTACCTGTACCCCCCCCCTCCCAATTCTGGTGCACGGACAAAAACACACTCACCGGAACAAAAACTCACCGGACAGGTTAGGTGTCACAATATTAACTTTTAGGGGTTAGCCATTTACTGGATGAGCTTTTTGTCCTAACCCCCCCCCCTGCCCTCTGCACCTCTCCTGCCCTCCACCCCATAGTCCATCACAGAGCAAGAAAAATAAAAACTAGCTCACTTGTCTCGGCGGGGCAGGAGAGAGAGAGAGAGAGAGAGAGAGAGAGAGAGAGAGAGAGAGAGAGAGAGAGAGAGAGAGTCTTATTCTTGGGGAAAATAAAACAACATAAAAGATGTATATCAGCAAGTAGCTTGTCTGGCCTCCCTCCTCCCCCACACTGCTGCCGTGCCTCCCTCCCACCTCCCACACCTGCCGCCGTGCCTCCCTCCCACTCTCCCAGCACCTCGCCGCTGTGCCTCCCCCTCCCCCTCCCCCTCCCACACTGCCGCCGTGCCTCCTCCCACTCTCCCACACTGCCGCCGCCTCCCTCCCTCTCTCCCAAACTGCCCGCCGTGCCTCCCTTCCGTCCCACACTGCCGCCGTGCTCTTCCCCTCTGTCCCACACCGCCGCCGTGCCTCCTCCCTCCCTCCCTCTCTCCCCACACCGCCAGGCCTTCCCTTCCCTCCCACACTACCGCCGTGCCTCCTCCCTCCCTTCCCCCTCTCCCACACTGCCGCCGTACCTCCCCCTCCCACACTGCCGCCGTGCCTCCCTCCGTCCCTCTCTCTCTCCCACACCGTCGCCGTGCCTTCCCTTCCTCCCACACTGCCGTGCCTCCTCCCTCCTTCCCTCTCCCACACTGCCGCTGCACTCTCCCTCTCCTTCCCTCTCTCCCACACTGCCGCCGTGCCTCCCCCCTCCCTCCCACACTGCCGCCGGCCTCACCACCAGTACATGACTATATTTTATATTAATTCACAGTGCGGAGACGAGCAGCCACTTCCCCCGACGCATCATTTTTTATATCTCCATCTCTTCGTTCTTGCTTCTCTCCGTCCGCCCATCTCTCTCCGGGGTTTTGAAGGTATTAATCAGACAGGTTGCTGTTAGGTTGGGTTAGGTTAGGTTAGGTTAGGTTAGGTTGGATTAGGTTAGGTTAATATTGTACTCTCATCTCTCCTTTTTCTCCATTCCGTCCCTTCATCTCTCTCTGGGGTTTTTGAAGGTACTAATCAGAGAGGGGGAGTGAGGGGTGGGCGGCCTCTCCTGCTGGGGGTAGTAAGTGCGGGCGGCTACAATATCAAACCGTTATTAGGGATTAGCGGAGCAGCCAATAAAGATTATAGAGGGATCAAAGTCAGGATCAGCTGACTGCCACGTGCGTCTCCCCCATCCAGCTGAGTTCTGGCGGGAAACACAAAAACAGCGGATTTATATTTTTTGGCGCGAACAAAACGTAAACAAAGTATTTTTTTTTTATTCTATCATTTTTTCCCCGTCTGTGTAATCGTATTAGTTTTTTTTTTCATGTACGGTATAAGGAAGGGATGATAATTGATAAATAGAGGAAAAATGGTTGGAGATAAAGGATGAGGGGAGTTATTTACATAATCCGGGAATAGCGTGGGATTACCCTAATACCGTACAGTGTAGCAAAACATCCCTTGTGACCCCGTGAGAACTTCCTCCCACAACACCCTCCTCTTCCTGCGCTTCCCTTCTTCTTCCTCTTCATCTTCTTCCTCTTCTTCTTCCTCTTTCTTCTCTTTCTTCTCTTTCTATTCTTCCTCTCTTCCTCTTCTTCCTCTTCTTCCTGCTCTTCCTCTTCTTCCTCCCCTTTTTTAATGCTGCTCCAATCCACCTTCCCCTCCTCTTTATCCTTCTTTTCTTTTTCTTACTCCTCCTTTTCTTCTTATTTCTCTTCTTCCTACTCCGCCTCCTCTTCTTTTCCAAGTTTCTTCTCTAACTCTTACCTTCTCCTTCCTGTCCATTAGAGGTGACACTTTGTTTCTGTATGTTAGAGGTGACATCATTCCCTGAGGCACTGCTCTGTTTCTGTCTGTTAGAGGTGGCACTATCTCTGCTTGTGTCTGCTGGAGTTGGCACTGTTCCCACAGGCTCCTGTTGGAGCTGGCACTGTCTCTGTTTGTGTCTGCTGGAGTTGGCACTGTCTCTGCTTGGAGTGCTGGTGGCACTGTTCTGCTTGAGTGTTGAGGTGGCACTGTCTCGTTTTGAGTGTTGGATATGGTACCGTCTTTGTTTGAATGTTGGAGATGTACTGTCTCTGCTGGAGTGTTGGAGGTGGCACTGTCTCTGCTTGAGTGTTGGAGATGGCACTGTCTCTGTTTGAGTGTTGGAGATGGCACTGTCTCTGTTTGTGTCTGTTGGAGATGGCACTGTCTCTGTTTGAGTGTTGGAGATGGCACTGTCTCTGTTTGAGTGTTGGAAGTGGCACTGTCTCCACTGATGCTGTTGGTATTGATGGTGATAAGGATGGTGGGGCTAACAACAACAACAATAACAACAATAATAATAATAACAACAACAACAACAACAATAACAATAATAATAATAACAACAACAATAATAATTAATAACAACCACAACAATAATAACAACGTTTCTTCATCACCATAAGGGTACGTGAACACATTACCAAGAGAGACATAATACACTTGAGTTGTATCTGTACTACCCCAGTAATTTAACACGTCTAGTGCACTCACCCAGCTGGACTGTCCCGACACAAGAAACCTTTACATCATTAACGTCCTCTGTGTCTCAGGCTCCCTCAGGCTCTTTCACACGGCACCTGAAGACCGTAATCGTATGTGTAGGGGCTGGGAATTAGAATAAGTGAATGTGGTAATGGTTAGCGATAGTTCAAGGGGAGGATTTGTTGAGGTAGCGTCAGTGTGTGGGGAGGTAAACAATGGTTAGAGTTATTGTGTTGGTTAATGATCGATGTGGTTAAATAATAATGGTCAATGTTTTAACTATTATGGGAAAAAAGATCTATCAAACTATATTATTGCTCTGGTTTAGTAAAAACAAAACTCGATTATTTAACTCTTATTGTGGGTAAAAATTTTATCAAAGTATATTTGTTTTTAGTCAGAAATATCTATCAAACTATGATTTGTTCGAGTGGATTAGACCACCTGGGAATTACGTTCATAAATGGTGAAAAAAAAATCAACATTCATTTTTTTTACCCGTTTTGATCACAGTCACGTAGTGTGTTTACCTGTCGACAAAAAGTTTCAGTTTTCCGTGATTTGTGTAAAAGTTTATATATTTCAGTATCATATAATGTTAGTTAATATTTTACTTTGAAGAAATTAAAGCGATATTGGGATGATAATTATATAACTGGGAATAATAATCTTTGTCTTTACGGTTACAAGGACTGTGTGAGGTGTATCGGCGGTGCTCTATCACTCCCTTGAAATAAAGTTGATGGTTAGGTTAGGTTAGGTTAGGTTAGGTTAACTTTGGGTAGGTTAGGTTCACTCGCTGGTTTAAATTTTTTTTTTCTACTGGTGAGTTCTGTCTGTCTCTCTATATATCACCAGCCAGAATTAATCTCTCATCTGCCAGAAGGGACCTGACCGCTGCTGTCTTCAGTTTCCGGGTGTCAGAGAGGATAGAGGAAAAGTGTATGTGTATAGTAATGGTGTTAGGGAAAATCCAGGAACTAAAAGCTGTGCAGTAAATCATTTAAACGGTAACAGATCATATCCAGAGAGTTTAGTGTGTGTGTTTTTCTTATCAGACTCAAAGATTATTGTTAATCTTGCTGTAAGTAGACCAAGAGGGTAAAGCATTCAAACCACAGCAGCTAGGCCCCTACAACACGGATCTCTCATGCCAGTGTAAAGATCTGATTCATCCAAACAAAACCCGATTCTTTCTTGTTTCCCAAATTGGTATGTGTTTTTTTTCAGTCCTTTCTTTTCGTACCCAACATCCCATGATTGCATTTAGATTACTATTTCGACCACCAACATTTACTTCAGGGTACAGCTTTCTAGGTTATCTTTCGTATTTATAAACGAGATTTAAATGGGAGGAAAAATTACAACTTTCTTGAGGAACTTAATCAGAATTATAGTACACGATGCAGCTTTCTCAATCCTGGCAAACCAAAAATCACATCCAATCTATATCACTGCGGACTATGTTTTCAGGCCAGGTTGCTCAAGTGACCTGAGATGTACTCGCTCCAGAAAGTATCTTAACGGAGAGGTACCGATAAATGTCAGAATGAGCACTACGACTCCTGTTGTCTTGGTAGGGTTGTCAAAATCCTTCGTCAGTTCTGCCATACTTTCTAACGCAAAATCGTAAAGATATTTTTTTTTGCATCGCGTACATGACTTAACCTTGGGACCCACAAGCTGTCATATAGAGGAGGATCTTCTTCCCAGATTAACACCAGGACAAGAGAGAGGAGCGCCCCAGCCTCGGTAAACAAAGTGGTCGTCTTCATCCCTCATCATCAGTCTTTCATCTGAGGTTCAATAGGTGCAGCTTTCCCATTATGCCACACTCTATATTGTTATAACTTCATTGTTAGTCTTTTTTTTTTTTCTCAGTGTGACGAAAATATGTTTTTATTTCTCATTATGACGTGTTTTTATTTCTCAGTGTAACGTGATTTTTTTTTCTTCATGGAGTAAACTTTTAATTTCCTATGGGGGTTTAGTCGTGTCTTTCTGCTGATGGTTGATGGTTGTAGTTACTTTTGGGCCTACCAGGAGAGGAGTTTGTTTGGGGGGGGGTGGAGGGTAGTGGTAGTGACGTCTTGTCTGTCCTGATGGTGTGTGTCCTGTGTGAGTCTTGGCCGTATTCTCTTTCTTTCTTTCTTAATTTCCTCTCTCTCTCTCTCTCTCTCTCTCTCTCTCTCTCTCTCTCATATCATCAACGGCCCTAGATATAGAAAAAAACTTGGACCTAAAGAATTTACTGTACTACCTCCTCCCTCCTTTCTCATTCTCCTCCTCCTCTCCCCAGCATCTCCTTCCTCTTCCTCCTCTCCCCCTCTCTTTCTTCCTTGTCCCACCTTAAGCGTTCTTCCCCTCCACTTGTCTCCTCTCGTCTCTTCTGTTCCTCTTCTTCTACCCTTCGTTGCCCCTTCTCTTCTTCCTTCCCTCCTTCCCTCCCTCCCTTCTTTTCTCGTCCTCCTGCCTCCCTACCCCCTGTCCTTCTCACTCTCCCATTTTCTCCTATCTCGTCTCCCTTCTCTCTTCTGTCTCCCTGTTTCGTCTCCTCTTTCCCTTCATCTCTCTCCCCAACTGTAACCCGTCTAGTCCCTTCTCTCTCTTTATTTCCCCCTACCCCATATCTCTGTCCATGTTCCCTCCACCCGTTACTCTCCTATCTTTCATCTCCTCTTCCTCCTCCCCCTTCCATTACCCCAGCTGGAGGTCATTCGTGTCATTACAAAACTACCAACATCATAGTCATCAGCATCGTCGTCCAGTCTCCCCCAACACGACCCTTCTACCCCCCCGACCCCCCCCCCCCCCCCCTGCACCCACCCTTAAAAAAAAACACGACCTCACCAGCTTACAGAAACGCCAGGAAGTCTCACAGGCCGGAGTCTCCATTGTAGCTCCTCTTTTTCAACAATCTCGTCCTCCTACCCCTCGCGCCCTCCCAACACCCGCAGCTCCCGAAGGCCGAAACTCCCGAAGGCCGAAACTCCCGACCGAAAGGAAGAGGAGGTTTTAACCCCTTACGACGGTGGGTGGCTTAGCTCTATCTTGCCCCCCGGGACTGGTTGTTGGGGTGGGTGGGGAGGGGAGGGGGGAGGCTATCTCAGTGATCGGCGGACACAAGTATTAACTTCCATTTCATCGGCGGATTTTATATAACGAGTTTGTCGGTGTCGCTTTACGGTCACACTCTTGTCGGGTTTCCAGGGAGACCAGAGGGTGATGCTGTCTTCACTCTGTCGGTAGGAGGTTTAAGAATGTGTCTTAAGAGGGCGAAGTTTGGGTTATAGCCGAGAATGAGTTAACTTCCACTTTGGCATCATGATTTACACTGAGAGACCCTCGATCTTGATATGATTGATTCTAGTGATCCTGGTGACAGAATAGTTAGGGTCTGGGACGGCCATAGTGTAGTGCTGGAGTGAGTTGGTGTGAGTCCCGCCCCTGGTTCCCCCTCTACCCCCCCCCTCCCCCCTCCCCCCCAAGCCTGGATCTGCGTCACTGCCACCTTATATTATTTTCTTTATTTATATTTTTCCTTGTTTATTTTATTTTTTCTATGTATTTTTTTTTACCAATTTATATACTGTATATATTTTGTTTTCTATTTATTCACCTATATTCAAATCTTCTTCGTTTTATTCTTAGTTATTTATAAATATTTGTTAACACAATGTACTGTTATTTATCATGAAGTAATCCTGCTCGTTATAAACTATATTTTTTTCAACTATTTCCAATTTATTTCTCTCTCTCTCTCTCTCTCTCTCTATCGTTTTCTTTTTTCCACTTGAATACACACAGGAATTTGACCTACCCCGGTTGATGGATCTCTTCGCAGCCTGTAATTAAAGTTTGATTAAGATCGTGTGTGTGTGTGTGTGTCGTTAGGGGGGGGTCGGTGCACGTCGCAGTTGGAAGGCTCTGACTGGCACGCGACGACCCTGTCAGTAAACCCCAGTGGTGAGGACACGGCGCTCAGCTGGGGGAGTGGGTGGCGTTGAGGCGTAAAGAAGGGTAAGTGTTTTAACCTCTCTCTCTCTCTTCTTCTCTCTCTCTCTCTCTCTCGTTTGACCAACCCTCTTCACTCCTACCCTTTCCTACCCAACCCATCTCACCCCTGAACACAACCCTACAGTGGTAACTAGTGCACAGGTGTGATGTATGGGGCGATTATATGCTGGAAATTAGGGAGGCGGGCACATTGGCATTCCCGCTTTGTGGATGACTGCGGGAATTACATTGGAGCAGTGGTGTGGGCGGTAACAATGGCGGTGATGGTGAGGAGGGTGGGTAAAGTGGCACTGGAAGAGGAGTGTGGCACCATAGAGGGACTAATGGCCTCTAGGCACTTAAGCTGATGGTACTGGAGGTTATCATATGTAAAGGCTAGATGGTGGTGAGGGAGAGAGAGAGAGAGAGAGAGAGAGAGAGAGAGAGAGAGAGAGAGAGAGAGAGGACCGCGTGTTCTTTGTTTACATTCTGTCGACGATCAGCTGATGGGGGTTGTTTTGGTGTTGAGGGGAGGAGTTTGGGTGTGACTCTCTCTCTCTCTCTCTCTGACTTACTGCTGCACAATTGAAAGAGGTGCGCCTGAAGTGGTGGTTCCCGCGAGTAGAAAACGTGATGATGAATGTGTTTTGACGGCGAGTTGTACAGCCGGGCAGTGATGTGTACCAATAAGGGTATAGTTCCCTCTATTCCTCCGACC